CCCGGATGGCCTCGCCCTCGGGGGGTCCTCGGCAACGACGAAGAAGGCTCCCCAGAGACCGTCCCTCCCCCTCCCCTCCTCCCCCCCTCCCCGACCGCTTTGCCGCCTTCCCACTCGCTCCCTCCTCCTGCTTCCCGCCGCCCCATTTTTGCCCCTTCCCCCCCCCCCCCCCCCCCCCCCCCCCCCCCCCCCCCGCCTCCTTCCCTCTGGCGCTCTCTCCTCCGCTGGCTCCCACTGACACTCTCCTCTGCCGGCGTTCGCCTCCCCCCCCCCCCGCGCCACTCCGCAGTCCCGCCTCGAGCACCTCGCCAAGATCGAGGCCCAGGCTCGCGCTGCCGACCAGGCTGACCTTGTTGGCAACCTTTACAACCGCGTCATCAAGGCCACCCAGGACCCGAAGTTCCGCGAGGCCGCCCTCAAGAAGAGCCTTGCCGACCTCGAGGCCCTCCAGGTCTAAGGGTCTGTCGCGCGCGCCCCTTCCCTCGGATGCTCGTGCACGCCCCCGCGTGAGCGCGCACGCGCTTCCTCCCCCCCTCTTTCGGCGTGTGCGCCTCGTCCGCTTCGACATGCGGGCCGAGGGCCCGAAGGCAAGAGGGCGGGCCAGAGGGGCACGACCGCGTGCGCCCGCGCGCCCCCACGCGGCGTTGCCACCCCTCTGTGCTGGTGCCCGGGGGCGGAGCCCTGTTACCGGGCCCCTCCCCGGGGGGCCTATGCGCACTCACACACGATACACACACACACATATACATACCCTTGTCTCAGGACTCATGTGAAACCCGGTGACGTACGATGCAGTCGTTGGGGGGCGGGAGGGGGAGTGGGGCGGGGGCATTGACGCGCGGGCGCACACCGCGGCTCTCGGCATGGCATGCGAGCCTTTGACCTGGCTGCCCAGGCAGCTCCTCGGGGACTCGCCCGGATGCTCCCTTGGGTGAGGTCGGCTTTGCCTGCCGCTCCTGGCCGGTGTGCTGCCCGCCGGGCATGGCGCAGGCGGGGGGCGCGAGGAGAACACGCGGCGGGGCCGCCGGGGCTCGGCGGTCTCTGGATGCGGCCCCCTCCAACACGCTCTTTTCCACACGAAGAACACGCAGAATCGGCCTTTCCCTGGCCCGGGCGCCTCTTGGCATGGCCGATCGCAGCCAGCTCGCATGCCTGAGAGGCGCCACCCAGGGACAACAAGACAGCACCGGGGGCCGGACCGAAAGAGGGTGGCCGGGAGAAACAACCCGACCAGCATATGCATGCGCATGCATGGGGAACGATTCAATGTCAGGCTATTAAAAAAGTGGGATAAAATACACGCGCATACACATGCATACACACACACGCACCCACCCACGCACACAGACACACACACATTCGAACGCGGACCCGTCTGTGTCTCCGCTGTTTCTCCCCCTCTGCCTCTCGTCTTCTCTGTTAATCTCTTCTTCTCACCGGCCACTGCCTGCTGGCCGTCGCGAGACGCGCCGAACAGGCGATGCTAAATGCGGCTTAATTGACACGGTCACGGAATGTACGCACGTGACCATCATCCACCGCGCACAAGCGTGGACTCCCCGGCCTCTGAACTAGGGCTCTCGGTGCACACGCACACACGCGCGCGCGCGCGCGCAACTGCCTGTTGCTGTTCCTCTCTCTCCCTCTCTGGCTCCCTGACTCTCTCGCGAACCGCACCCACCGCCTCCCGGGAGCCGGGTGTCCCCATGTCGCCCGGGTCCCGCGAACAGAGCTCCGCAGAGATTTCCCGGCTTCCCGAGGCGTGACATTGGAGAGCACAAGAAAAAATGGCCCCGTCTCCCGCGCGCGCGCGCGCGGGCACGCGCGTCCCCGAGGGTGCCTGAACTACCGACGCTGGGATTTTTTACCAGGGTGCGGCGGGCCAACCGTTTTTTTCGCCTCGGTGCCCGACCCGTGGCAGCCAGCCCACGCCGCTGGGTTGCCTGCGTTGCTCGCCTCTGAATAGCGCGCGCGCGCGCGCGAGCTCGTGCCTGTGTGTGTGTGTGTGTGTGTCTGCGCGCCCATGATATTTCCATGGGTCGGGAGAGTGGGCCATGTACTGGGGGCGTGCCGGCCCCGACGCGCGTGCTCTCCCCCCCCCCCCCCCCCCCCCCCCCCCCCGCGCGGGACCCGCGCAATATACCCCGGCACCGGGCGCCCGAGGGCGCGCGTCTAGCGCTTTCGTCCCAATGGGCCGCGCGCATTATCCCGGTCCGGCCCCCTTCCCCTTTGCGGGCCGCCCCGGGGCGCCGGCGGCC